AGCTGGAAGAAGCGGAAGAGGAAGAGGAAGAGTGTTGGAGTGCTAAGAATCACTAAAAAGAGTGCTAAAGGCAGTCGTCGGATGGTGTTGGTCTTGAATTGACAATATTAGCGAGTGCGTGTGCGATTATGCAAAGAAAGAATACGCTTAAAAGCCCACATTATCAAAGTTGCAAGTACTCGCTGTAAGTGCTAACCTGAGGAAATCGCTCGCCCTCTTCTTAAATCGTTTAGTTACTCATGTTTCATTCTAATCAAGTATTGGGAATCATTAATGTGTTCAAATTTCCACTCAAAATATTAGTTTATCAGCAAGACTAAAAAACAGTTAGTATATCGTATATGAAACGTGATATTTATTCATAAAACCAAAAAAAATACGATATAAAAAACGAACAAAAGAATAGTGAGACATCGTAGGAGCGTTACAAAACACCCCTCATTCAAAGAGACTAAGTATGACATGGACATCCGGTCGACTATAAAATACGGGTAAGCTGATAAAATAGGCTGCGCGCACATCCTTGCACATACAAGAACTCCCTTGTCATCGTCGTTTTAGATTCGAATACATATTCTTTGCTAAGATGAAATACTATTAGCGATAACAAGATTGGAACGACCATTGTCAAACTTTATGGGATGCGTCAACACTTGCTATGTGACAGCAATCATTCGTTACCAAATTTTCGAATTTGTATATAGTGTGACTATGTACATTATATTTTATTCATCATTAATTCGCTGTTCCAAGTAGGAACGAAAATGAAGTCCTCACGAGAAACCGAACCCAATGAAAAGGGCGGTAAGACGGATGACTAACAAAAAAGAAAATCAACGACCATGTCAACGCTGGTGTGAAATTGCGCACACACACGCAAAAGGCATAAGGGCAGACGAAAGCTTACACCCGCAGTGCGTATTGGTTTCGCAAGCGCTAGGCCAAAATACAGATTGTGTTGCAGATCAAGTTCTAGCCATGCTGCCCTGACGGTAACTTCAAGGGGTTAGACGGTGCGTCGAAGGGGGGTGCCTTAGCGCACGTATGGTAAGAAAACATAGCTGCATCAAAGATACTGCACGGTTTCAATCATTCTATCAAATGGGAAGACGCATTTGGCGTGGTAGGAGTCTCGAATAATGGAGTTACTCGTGGACAGAAACAATGGCACAGATGCCAGATACTCCATCGCCTGACGCCTCGCCTCGGGATTGCGCGCCATCGGCACCGACCACCTTGCGCCTACAGCACCATTATCCATATCTACCAATTTCGCATACCCAATCGAATCATCTGCTGCGTGGAAAACTAATGGGTACGAATGGCGCGTCGTGTTGCCGACTGTGTCTATGGGTCTCAGCTTGATCGCCCACAGCGGCGGAGTGAGGGCGATGTGAAACTCTCCGGAAACCCTCCTCCCTCCATCCCACCTGGGCAACGCCAGCTTCGTAAAAATCCCATCACCGTGTGCAGCGTACGCTCGCCGGTATAGGCGGCCTACAAACAAGCCAATATGCCAAAGAACTGTTACCTCGTTCGAGTGCGAGTGTTTAAGTCCGTCCGCAGGCAGGTACTTCGCCCAGTGCTCATCGTGCATCTCGGATGTGTATGGGGAGTCTAACTCGCCGTAACCTGAGAACACGTTGACGAAGTCTAGCCCAATGAAGCCTGCACGCACACCATAGGGGGACCGTGCCCCCTGCCGCTCATGCGATGGCATCGAGAAGACGTCACGCTCGACCTCCCACGCGATGTGATCCAAGTAGAGCGATGTGTAGACAGACTGATCACAACGCCATCCTTTTGGGGGATTTACTCGTGGGGTTTGCGTCCTTGTGAAATTTTTCGCCTTCTGCAGGAACTCCTTGTATGCCCACACACGGGCAACCACAACACCAGAGCTTAGATGACGTTGCGGGGATAAGTCAAAAGGCAGGCTGAGCTCATGCTCTGGGTAAGCAGCGGCATACTTCCGCACCTTGCTGTAGACAGTTTCATAGTCAGTTTTGCAATTATCCATGTAATCAAATACATCCCGTGCCCAGCAGATAGCCTCCGCACCAACAAAGAGTGGTGCCATCGCACGGCCCTGCCGTACAGCTACCACATCCAGCTCCTCAGGCGTCGCAGCGGACTGCGCAATGAAGCGATCCAGGAACGGATTAATGTCATCACCCATGAAAATGGTCGCTGAGTTCATCGCAATAACCACGTCTTCTGGCTGCAACTCCGCATTTCCGATGGCCGCCTCCATAAAGTCAAATTTAGACAAAAAATTCTCAAAAAGCATCTGATAACCGGCAACCACCACGGGTAGACCGCTTAGATAGGCCGAGCCAACGGAATAACAAATGGAATCATCAAATTCATTACTCATGATGAAAATCACCACGCGAGGCCCTGTGGAGCGAACAAATATATCCTGCGTACCACCAGAACGAAGCACCGATGGGGTCAATGAGGTTCCGCTCGAATCATTAGTGTAGTATAGCCAAAGAAGCATTCAAATCAAGCCAATCACCCCAACGAGAAGCGACCGCTGGAGAAGATCCCTAAAAGTATTGCTTGGCAACCTTTTTTCCATAGGAAGTAATATTGCTTTCATCGCTTTACGTTACTTTATTGGGAGCCTTTTCAAGACCCAGTCTTGGTTATTGGTGAATTAAGCAGAAGTAGTGTGAACTAAGCGTCTAAACGAATTCAAGTGCGTATAATGAAAGATGGGAATGAAATAGGAAGTAACCACAATCTATATTCGAAATAAAGCAGTAAAAAAATTCGGTCAATGACTCAATTCTACACCCACCTAGAAATATCTGGCTTCATGAAAAACACATTCCATATGGCTGTGAAATTCCACATAGAACTCCGCCTTCGTTTACTTCAAAGCAACTAGGTATGCCATCACGTGCAGTCAGGCCTCTCATAGAGATCACGAAACAGGGTCCCTCTCGTAGCAGAAATGAGGTGACTCAAGGGCCAGGATTAAGCCGAAGAATCACTTCCGGGAAGGAAGGTGAAACGTCTTGGGTGAGAAGGACACAACCATCCTCAAGGCAGCCAATGGGAGGAAGTAGAACTTCCTAACCTACAAAACAAACGAGGGCATGGAATCCATGGGTTCCGGAAGGTCAGGGGAAGGCTGGTGAAAGGTCACACAGGTGACGTTTTCAGACGGACCGATACACCCTTTGAGCGCCTTAATTCTCTCGTCACAACAACGCATCTCTGAAGGGATCCTCTTTTTCTACAACAACACCCAAGACATTTCTTAAATTCAAAAATGTTTCGCCTATGCATTGTCCCTGCCGTTCCGGGCAGTACCCTAAAGTTGAACACTCATAATAGTAAACGTTGAAAGATCGTGAAAGGATAAAGTCCTTTGTAGAAATATGGAAGAAGCTCACTGGTTTCATCCGCTTTGCAGGGGGAGGGGGGGTTACACCATGTGGAAATTCCAATGAGCTCTAGTATTCTTATTCAAGCCCAGCCACGGCAGAAAAAGCCGTGCCGCCAAGCAAAAACGAGCCGAACGGAAAGAGGCTTATATTTGTGCAGGCCTAGGAACCTCTCGTTTGATTAGGAGAACTCCGCGCAGGGGAGGCAAGACGGCACACCGCGGAGGTCACGTCGTAAAGATGAGGACTCGGATTGACATGCCTGCCTTGGCACTAGACATCGAAAGTTGGGTCGGAATCAACAGCCCTGCGCCTCAGCATGACCCTGCCTTCTCTTAGGATGCGCCCTGGGGACTGCTGGTTCAGATTGCCTATGATGAAACCAGCAATGTCCAAAAGATCACCAGGAAAGTAACCCTACAAGTGAGACAACCCTTAGTAGGCACCCATACACACACCTTCACTGCGGATCGACGTTAATCCATGACGGTAATGACAGCGCAAGTATTAAAAGAAAAAACTTAGGAAATGCCACTCCAGATAGCAAAGCAACGCATACGCCGCCTTCAATCCTGTTCATAAGAGAGTTACGCAAAACGGTGCTGGCTTCCAGAACCATCGAATTATCTGGCTCAACTCAGCACCCTTTGGTCTTTTGCGCATAGGCCACAACTAGGCGAAAGTATGCATGAGATTCACTTTAGTAACATAATTCACACGGCGTTCATGGTCTTGGCTCAAGCTATCAAACATTTGACTCATTCGGAAGGCACTAAAAAAGTTGAGAGGGTTGATATTACAATGGTTGGCGTAAAGCCTTCACGAAAGAAACCCGATGGAGAAGTGCAGAATGAACAACGCTAGTTGAGATCATTGTCCACTCGAAACGTTCTGAATTGCCTTTTCTGGTTCCGTCGTGTAAAACAAAAATGAGAAAGATGTTAAAAGGCGGCGAACAAGAGAGGACTTACTCATCGGTAGCGATTCAGATCATCACATTTGGACTCCTTCTGCAGCATCTCCAACGACTCCTTATAAGCAGCGGAACGCTCGTATGGAAGTACACGCAGTCGTCGCTGGCGCTCCTTCACAATGGCATGACGAGTCTGGATCACTTTGTCAACAGAAGACCACTGGTCCTTCAGCGCGCGCTCCAGACGGTTGTAAGTAACGTGGTTTGCGTAGTTCATGTCCTCATATACCCTTCGATGGCGCCTCTGCAAGTCTGTGACCATCGCTGCATGAGCCTCATCCCCAGCTTCAGAAAAGCAAACATTGGGCTCCCTTGTCGTCTTGGCGGCATCCAGCAACAGACCCGCAGCAGAAGCGGTGTCAGGCGCGCTATGAGTATGGCGGCAGACAGATTTGTGACCTGAAAGCAATTCACGACGTGTCTGCGCAAGGAGTGTAAAGTGTGATAAAAGGCGCTCCTCGTCATTCTTTCCAACACTCGGGCCAACCGCAGAAGCATCACCGGGATGACATTTGATAAGGGCCTGAGCCTCCCCTTGTGCTACCACGCAATCCCCCCCTTTCTCGAAGCTTTGCTGCTGCCCTGTCTCTAAAGCTTCCCTTGTGCGGTTTGTGCCATTCACCCGCCCGTTGGCCTCGTTGCCTTCTTCACTGTCATCGAGAGAAGAGAGCGAACCCTTGGATGACGAACTAAAAAGAGATTCCTGCCGCACTCGGGCATACTGCGTATGTGCTATCAGCCTCAGCTTTGCCCGGCCGCCTGCTGTCGGTGTAATAGGCACACAAGACTCTAGGAGCGGCTCACTTGATGACGCATTATCACTTTTATTCAGTACAAATCCTCCCGCAAAGGTTGTGGTTCCGCCATTTGCACGCGCTGACTCACACCTCGGGTTGTGGAGAGAGCTCGCGTCGTTGCCATTTTTGGCGCCACAGTTAGCGGCTAGATCCCTTGTGGAGTTGGCAACCTTCTCCCCTATGGGCTCGACAAGTGGTGGTGCGCCGCCGGACACGCAAGAAATTTTCTTCCCTTCCTCTCCCTCCTCCAAGACGCCCCATCGGCTCCCGACGTGTAGGGAGCACGGTGTGTTGTCTAACATCTCTAATTCAGGACAAACTTCACATAGGTGCTGTCGGTATTTTTTGATTGCAGCCGTGGAGTCCTCCGCGTGGGTTTGCCACGTGTCTGGGGCGTCCGATGATGTGACGGCCGAATCAAGAGGATCGCTAGGAACAGGGCAGTATGGGTTTCCGATGAGGTTTAGGTACTTCAGTGAATCGCATGGTAAGTCCGAGGCAGGACTCAGCTGTGCAACACAGTTGAAGCTCACGTCTAGGTAGATTAAATCGTTCAGAAGAGCCGATGGTGTAATGGAACGGATTTTGTTGTGATGAAGGACCAGAACTTGCAGCTTGGAAAGCAGTTGCAGCCCTTCAATGTCCTCAAGCTCATTTTTTTGAAGGTAAAGATGCGTAGTGTTCAAAAAATACTCCGCAGGGGCGGTTGATCGTAGACGATGACTAACGAGTTCAACATGGTGTATGTCGAGAAAGGCGTTGGCTACGGCCTCCGGACCCCCGACAAGGTCTCGCTTTGGAAGAATCGACACGGCCAGCTGGTAAGCGTTTGCCGCGTCACTGGCCAACGCTGTCTCGCCACCTTTAGGCGTACAAGCATGTTTCGAGCCAAAGTCGTGCACGCGACTAAACGGCTGCCGTCTCCAGTGAATCCCCGAATCATCAGCACCGTCCGCCTCCGCAGGCGAAGAATGGAGCTTGTTTACGGGCATGCATGCACATTCAGCGCTCTCGTGTTTGTCCTAAGGAAAAAGGAGTAATTCAACGGCTGACCACATACACCCTGAACGATACACATAATGAACGGTCAAATGCTAATCACCATTCTTTTATCTAAGATGAAATAGAAAAATATAAAGATTAGTTGTTAAATTTGCTCAGCATGCATTAGAATAATTGGCGTTTGAAGGCAGTCTGTATTAAGCTAGCGAGTGAGAAAAGGACAGTTGTGTGCAAAATGTAAGGCTGAGGATAAATACCCTTCCGAAATCTGAAATGTAGTTTGTAAGGGAAAAGGTAATGCTGTCCGACAGTTTACCTTATTTTGGAAATAGAGCTCTTTCAGTTTGTTTGGATGTATGTACGAGGTAATAATGGTAAGTTGACATTAATCAGTCATCAAAACAGTGTATATAATTCTACTGTACGGCTCGCCGCAAGAGGCACCATAACGCGACACCGATGGCGTATGAAATACCACAGGCAAACCGTTTTTCTTTAGAAAACGCGGCATCCCGAGCAAATTGAAAGGACGGCGCACCCACTACATTGCATAACGCGTGAGTTGCACCTAAAGCAAAGACACTTCCCCGGCATACTGTGGTATAGTAAAACCCGTTCAATATGCCAAAGACAAACGTAAAAAAAAAGTGGAAGTAGAATCTCTGCAAGGAATGTAGCCAGCACATCCGTTCCAAACCCCTTTTCGGCTCTTCGCCGTTCTCTAAAGCCATGCGATATTCATCTATTGCGTAAACCACCAGAAGATGTGCATGGGAAAGAGAAAAAAGAATGGATGAAAGAAGAATTTGCTGCGTGGTGGTCCGACCTCGAAGAATATGAAAGAAAAGGCCCCGAAAGACGATCTCTTCGCCAAATGGACAAAGAAAAATATTGCGAAATAGCATCAGCCACTCATTGATTGTCTCGGGCGCGGACCAAATCCCATAAGACATGAGGTGCTCGACAATAGGTCCAAGAAAAAGAATCGCAGTGAAACCAACACACTGTAACATTACAACAAAGGGATGCTTATCTGGTATCCCGATATTTGCTTTGGAGACGCTTCGCAAGTACAGAAAGCTTCCACAGATCACACCTGTAAATGAGATCGACCGCTTTATGATTGTACTGGTGCTGTCTCGATCGATATACACAGACGCGTCTGTGGCAGCGGTGTGGAGATCACGAAGGGCAACTTTTAAAAATCGGAAGTCGCGTGGGTATACATATAACGAGCCGATAAGAGCAAAGCACAGTCCTCCACAAAGTGCTATGTCCATGATTAAGTATTCATACAACAAGGAAAAAATACAGTTGTAAGTTCAGCCTCAATAGATCTATAATGATTAGGTCTTTATAGCAGTAGAAAATTTTTTGCCTCTATTTTAAATGCTTGCCAGTAAACAACAGGCTTGGTCGATCATGTGGTAAAGGGTGTTGCACAAAAAAATGTTAACCCATGCTGCCATTAAGAGATGGCTTGTCGGTGGGAAAATGTAAAGATACCCCATAAAGTTGTCAAAAATATGACGGGATTCATTAGCAGATGTCCATGTCTACAGTGTCATAGATTATTCATTTACTTTATGAAAAAAAAACCATAATCGCCAGATATGGAATAAAAATACAATAATCATTAAACTTTGTGTCTAAAAAATCTAATACGAAGGTAGGCATCTCGAAATAATTGATGAACAAATGCACAGTAAGCTCTCAAACGAAATGGAAAATATCTAAGAGAATCAATAATAAAAAAGTGCAAGCAGATACGCTTTATGGCGACAAATTTCTTGCATTTTATAGCCGCCAAAATAATGAAGATAAAGATAGTTAATTACTCGATGCGGACAGGATATATCACCTCAACCATTTTTTCCCAGTTCATGCCACGTTCAAATCGTGAAAGCTCATCATTCGTGCAAAGCACAATGTCAGCGTTCTCGGCGCTGTCCACGGTGATTGCGCCGCCTTCTGACAGCAGTAGCGCCGCGGTACTGTAGTGTTTGCACGCAACAAATAAATTCGTGCAAAAGACCTGTTTTTTAAGCAATGGAGGAAATTCATGTTGAAACCCAAAATCGTTCTCATTAAGCCACATTCGTTGGTTGAGAGACTCTACAACATACGACACCGGTAGAACCCAGCACCCTCGAACGAGTGCGGTGAGTAACTTAATAGTGAGTTGCCCATTCGTGATCAGATGCGTGAGATTTGAAGGAACTGGCATGTTGGATTTGCACTCTGCAATTGCGACATTAGGTAGCTGCTTAATGGAAAGAAAAAGATCATTCCCATCAAATCCACTGATAGCAAATACTCGCGCATCCTCGGTACGAGAACGCTTCATCGAGCGGGAATCTGGTGATGGGATGTTTACTGAGGATGCGCTACGAAGCTTGGATTGACAGTGACTACTCTGAGATTTATTGATGGGTGTGGTGGACCTTATCCCAGAGACCCGCCGTCGGAGTTCTACCTCCAAACGTTTCTCCAATAATGAGCAGCGATGAATAGCTGCAGCTAACTCCACGTTGAGGTTATCCGACCTTTGGCATTCGCTCAAATATTTTTGTCGCAGCTCCCCTTCTTCATGCTGCTTGGCTTGTATCTCCTGGTAAAAGCGATCTCGGTCAGCCGTTGCGGCTGTCAACTCTAGGCGTAGCTGTCGCACAACGGCCCGATCGTCATCAGTGGACTTCATATGCTCTTTGCGAAGCACAGACAGCTCCTCACGACATGACATCAGCGACTCCTCAAGTGAGTAGATTCGTTCCTTGGCTGCACGCAGATCAGTTGAGTACCCCTCCTCCATGATGTCCTTTTGCTCGTTGAGCCTTAGAATGCGTTCATTTGCCTCCACAGCAGCAGTACAGTGTACCTCTCCATCTCTGGTTAAACGATTGATTTCGTGCTCAAGCTCTAGCTCTCTCGCTTTCGTTGTGCTAAGCAGTTTTTCGGTTTCCAAAAGCTGCTTTTCGCGCTGGGTTAGGACCACTGAAATAGTTGAAAGCTCCTCTGAGACTTTGGAAAGCTGCCGTTGTAGGGATAGATTCTCCTCCGCTGCGGCAATACGGCTTCCTTTAGCTGCACGCACAGCAGACTCCATCTGATGCTCCTTATCACTTAAGGCCAGACGATGCTCCTCTGCAATACGGTGCAGTTCCTTAGCATGGTCCATGGAAATCTGCTCCATCTCCTCTGATAGCTTTGAGTTGGTGTGGCGCAAAGCGGCGACATCATCGGTGAGTACACGCAGTTTTTCCTTCGACCGTTGCAAATCATCTTCAAGCTCTTTAATGTAGCCATTTTTGGCTGTCGTTATCTCCTCCATACGCTCGTTAGTGAGGATATGTTGGGCTTGCATCGCCTCCTCATGCTCCGCTTTAATACGTTTAATATGCTCTTGATGTTGCTTCTCAAGCTCAGAAAAACGAGTGGTGGCGGCCTCAGACTTCTTTCGCCAATCATCAATATCTTGGTAGGCCTTCTGTAATTTGCTCAATGTATCTCCATATTGCTTTTCTAAATTTTCTTTATCCTGCTGCAGTGCTGAAATCTCTTGGGACATATTCTCGATCTCGGCGACCGCTCCTTCCAATTCACTACTCATCGTCTGAAGACAGTTCTGACCTTCGAATTCATGCTGTTGGCTCAACTCATCCAATCTCTTACAATTGTCCTGCCGTAGATCCTCGATGCGCCTCTTAAGAAAGTCAACTTCTTTCTCAAATACGGTTCGCTCGTCGTTAGCCTTGGATTCTGCCATAAGCCTCGCGCGATGTTCCTTTTCTGCACGATCCAAAGCATCTTCAAGCTCCTTTCTATGAATTTCATTGCTTGTACGCGCTAGTTTTAGTTCCTCCTGTGTCCGATTCAACTCAAAACGAGCGTACTCCAAGTCTCTCTGAACATCAGCCAACTTGAGAAGCTCCCGCTTCGCCTGACTGTACAGTGAACGCAGTTTGTCGTACTCCTGGGCTGTGATGCATGCGATGTTGGAGAGAGACACGCGCACGGAATGCCGGGCTGTGGATGATCTCTGAGTACTGTCCATAAGTGAAATAGTGTTTAGTGTCATCTTTGTTAACTCTGCTTCTGTTTGTGTGTTCTTTCCAGTGAAATGTTGCGTCGGTGCGCTCATTTTCTGCTCAGCCAAAGTCGTGCCACTCTCTACAAGCGAAGCCATCTGTGGTGCTTGTTCCTCCTTTCCAGGCGAAATGCCGTTATCATTTGGCAAAGGATCCGGTAAAGTAATGCTTTTCTGGAGCCACATGCTGTCCATGTCAGCACTGTTTATCATTTAATTGAAGCAAGAAAAACAAACACAGGTCTATTCTGAAAAAAAGCGTCACACGCCACTTCCAAAAGGGAAATAATTTACTTTCAAGTTGAAGGTTATAGATCAAATGGGTAAAGAAGAATCTGATTTCCTAATGCGATACAATACTTAACTAACATTCCATATAAGGGACAAAATGTTTCATCTTATCGACTAGTAATATGTAAGAATAATAAAGACGGTCTCTTACATAATAAGGTTCATTCCAATTTCTTTTTTTATTAATTCAAGTACGGTCGGCCGCTGAATTGGACTGAAAAAATACAAAGGCTAAACCTTAAGAAAAAGCAGGCGCTTGAGTAGAAGGCTTCCCATTTACAACAAATCGCAGCCCAAACCTCTTGAGTTACCATATATTACAAAGTGTATGCCAAGTAGTTTTGCATCTACCTGATCCACTTGGGCATCCAATTGTCCGTTACAAGGCACTTGATGAATATAGATTTCATGAATTGAGAGCCATTTATGGAGACACGAAGTATGTCATTCCCATGAAGTGATTTAAAGTTTTTATCTAGCTTACTACAGCAAATGAAAAATTAGCTTTTTTCGGAAGCTGATATTCTGGGAGTAAAGCATGGGCTCACGGTTTTAGTGGATAAGCTAAGGCTGGTGCCCTCAAAAAAAGTGTATGCTGTTGCGTGAAGCATAGTGTAATGATACTTTGTAGTCTAAAAAAAGACTCTAGCGCTCTATAAATCAAATAAAGTTGTATCCAAAACTTTATTTGCTCGATGATGCGATCCTTTTGGGAAATACGTATGACCACAATTGAACTGAGTTGAAGCATTCAAACCAGCCGCTCAAATATTCTATTGGAATACGGCAAACTTACAAAGGGCCTGAAAAAGATTAATCAACACAGGAACTCGCACAATTTATCTCGGCGAATAAGGAGTACCATCTGGAAATAAAATTTATTGTATGTCAGGTCATTAATTTTAGAGACAGCGTGGTCCATAATGAAATCAAAATTCGACCCCCTGTTATGGGATAGAAGGATTTTAGGGCTCCCAGCCCTTTGGGATGCCCTCTAGGGGAGAGACTTGCTATTGAAAAGTATTCTTATCCCACGAATGTAACGACTATCTTGATATTCGACTGGCATCGGGAACGTCCCTTACAATGCGCTTACACAAAGCCTCATATGGCAGCATGTTCCACAAATATTTCTTAAGATCCCCATGACCCGCGTTAGTGTTTGCGCCACTAAGTGCGATCTTAAAAAACATACTTGCGATGTTTGGGATTGGTCACTTGAGGTTTACGCGCTTAGAAACCTTCCAACTGCATTACTCAGTAGGGCAAGAAACATTGATAACGGCATTCAAAAAAAATGAGCCGGACATCTGCGCTTCATAGAAGTATCAAGTGACACGCAGAAGGAATTGTGGAAGTGGTAAAAGTTAATTACAGCGATGTGTGTACAAGTACTTATCCCAAGGTTTCAAAGTGATGAATAGTGTATGTGTCTTGTTGTATTTTTTTCCTTATTTTGTGATCTAGACACTGCACCGCCGCTTGCTCGATACAAACATTAAGTGAATTGACTACGTCACTAGAACTGTCCACAGTTATCCCCCATTGGGAGGAGCGATTTCCTCACACTCAAAAAATAGAAATCAATTAAGCTCTTGAATACAACAGAGGTGTCTATTGATCGATAACTGATGTCATCAGTTATACTTTCCGTATCGTTGAGTGAAACCTCTTTGTCAAGGCGCACTGCTTTATAGAAACAAATGTTCTTTTTATGATATTATCAAACGTATCGTTCGCTGTCTTTTCACTTTATGATTGGCATCATTATTAACACTTTGCCTGTTTTTAGGCAATATAATTTACACGGGTATCCTTATTTATGCAAAACTAACACCAAAAAAAAAAGGCACCCACTTAGAAAAAACATATACCTATTTGGTGAGCCGAGAGGTCGTCTTGGCATACCAGCCTGAAAGTAAGGATCTTACAAATAAGGGTAACTCTATTTGTCATTTCCAAATCAAGAAAGAGGATACTGAAAAAGAAACAAGTTTGTAGAGAAAAATGTTGGGCTTTTGCATTTCTTGCAGAACAAAACTATATGAGCACATTATTTTTTAATGGGCAACAGGTATCTATTAACTCACTATTTTGCTATGAACTGATGAAATCAGAAGTAACAAAGAGAAATATCAAGCCAATGATGGCAGATAATGCCTAAAAGCTGAAAAATGGTGTTTTTTACTAACACGGACATTTTTAAATGTCTCTTCTTCTCGATGACCGCTTTCCAGATTTCGAAATCTTCGACCTTGTAGCAATAATGTCTTTTGGAATAACGTATTTAAAGCCTCTCATGTTACCCTCAACCCTTTGTCCGGCTGTCGACGAAAACTCTTGGGGAATTGTAGATGCACTATTGGTCACACGAGGTTGCGAAAACATTCTTGCGACCAAATGGAGCGATAATATTTATGACGTCAATGTCGCCTCTTTCTGTAGGTATACTTTATTTTGTTTGAAGAAAATTAAGAGTAAAGTTCCATATACATATAGCTCATCTCACTGTAAAAGAATACACAGAGCACAAGTGCTAATGGAAGAAAAAAAATGTGTCGGTAATAATTGAAAAAAACAATAAAAAACATGTATTATTATTTTCTATTAGAAAAAGGATCGTGTTTTTCGATAATCCAACGTCCAAAGAAAATCGTCAAGAAATAAAATTGCCGGGTAAAACGGAAACTGACAGCACTAAGCATCATGAATATCATGCGTTGTCGCCCACTTAAAATATGACCATCATAAAATATATAACGCGTCATGAGGGAAAATGAACTCTCCACGAAGAAATGATGATGTCAGTGAAGTAGCGGGAACCCGAAGATTCACCAGTAGGTTTACTTTTTGCCAATCAACACCAAATACTTGTCATGATGGAGACAGCGCCATTTCAAAGCACGATAGCGTTGTAATGTAACAGCAACAGTATTACTATAAAAGTTTCTGACAAAAAGCTCCACGCACAGAAACAAAAGTCCACATATGCAATACTATGTATATATATATATATATATATTAGATAGTATAAAAGAAAAAAAGAGGTAGAAGTTTACTGACACTGAATACCGTAATTCTTTATAAGATGGAAGAGAGGCAATGACACAAAATGGCTTGATTGCGCAAAAGAAGAAGAGTTTTTGCATTTTAAGTTGCACAAAAAAAGACCCGACTAATGCAATCATGTAATACTAAAAACGCTACCCACTAAATTGGAGAAATAAATATCTAACAGTAAGATATAATTTCATTATTGAAACTACTCATCATTTTATAAAAAAACTCCCTTAAATTGGCACGCCTTGAACGAAAATCAGCTCATATCCTAGGTGAGTAAGACATTCCCGGTACCCTTAACCTAGTCTAGGCTTCATCATCCCTCGCATACTCTGGTTAGAGTGGCATATCACCCTTGTGGCGCACTTCAATCGGGTGACTCTGCGCAGTGGGATAGTCATAAAGCCGCTTGTGATCCTCCAGCTTCACCTTACCACTCCATAAATCCACGCTGCTTGGATTTATACCCTTCTCGGCAGCTAGCTCCTGCTTGATTTGCCACACAAACTTCATCGCGTCCACCATCTTCCGCATGGCATTGGGGTATGGATCGTGGGCCAGCCCCGTCGTCTCTGTGTTGGGCAGTGGGGGAATGTAGGATTGATCTTCGCTGTATTGAGGCCGTGAAGGCACTTGGGGCTGATCAGTATTGGTAGCGAAAGGTTCTGCGTAAGAGTTGCCTGTGGTTGAGGTCGACGAAGAAAAAGTTTTCTGGGTGCAAATCTTCCCATTGAGGACATCGTCATAGCGCTGACGAAGAGAATTAGCATCGAGGCAGTCTGAGAAATCAACACCGCGCTCATAAAGTTCTTTAGTGATATCTATGATTGTTTTCTTGCCAATCGAGTTATTGAAATGAGATTCTAGCTCCACTTCAATGGTTTCGACTTCAATCTCTTCATCTTTCCTGTCACTTTCCTCTTGGGACCTCTTATTCCATTTGCCATCCACTCTCTCTCCAACTACATGCTCTACATTTACCTTTTCATCGAATGGAGCCCTATCACACGATACGTTGTGAAGCACTTCACTTTCTGGAGAGCCCTTTACTTCGATGTCTGATGGCTCGCCATTTCTTGGGGGTTCTTTCGGAACTGTGGATAGGTCATCCAGAGGAGGCTGCGCTGCAAAGCTGTCCCCCTGTGGATTCTCAGTACCCCATAACAGCTTAATCAACGTATCCACTTTCGTTTGGACCGACCACGCCTCATTTTTTACATTATTTAACCTGTTATTGTAGACCTTAAGCGATGCCGAAATGGACTCTACCATCTCCTTAAAGGCTGCATCCTGCACGTTCGACACTGATATACATTCATGTAAAGCGCGTGAAGTCGCTTTGGTAGCATCACTCATGTCTGCTAAATCAAGTCCCTGTCCCTTACATTCTTCTCTGACAGCTGTCAAATTTTTAGTTAACAATTCACGCGTTTCCTCATTAACGGTTACACACCGGTGGTTGATGTATATCGTACTATAGCAAAGAGACACACGCACGATGCGTCGGAACATTATGATGAATCTCTGTTTTTTCTTATGCGTATCTTTATTTATCTTATTATAATGGTACTATAATTCACGTTTTTCACTTAAAGACTTACTACGGCTGTAAATAAATTTTTAGAAGAACAGAAAAAAAATGCGCTGTAAAGGGGATACTAGAGCATAGGCGCGTATCTATTGAATTACTTAAGGAAAAGCCCACAACGCTACACAATCATAAATTTTCAAATTACATCAAATTAATTAAGATTTAGTTGCCTGATTGTTGTTCTTTTAGGAGATATAGATTTATTCATAGTGGTAATACCCTTCAATATGAGTCCTAACTTGAGTAAGGGTAGAATAGAAAGCAAAAAAAAAATGATAAAAGAAACCTTAAATATTTAAAGAAGAATGTTTTATAATTATATTCTACTTATACACTAGAAGCAATGAGAACGGATGTCCCCTCTGAGTGAAGCAAGTGCGCCTTTTCTTCATGAGTAAACTTCACTTTGATTGTTAAAGAACACGTTGGACACTGTGCGACATCAGCCCCAGCCGCAAAATCTTGTAGCGAAAGTTCAAACAAATCACCACATGGACAAGGATATATGAGTTTACCATCCTCCACAAGCATATTGGAGAGTAAGACTTCCTCATAATGGTATGCGTCCATCGCAGAAAGATTCAAAGAAATGTAGGATATGTTGGCTTTCGTTGTGTTAGCTTCGAGTGAAGATAGATGTAACAGCTTAGAAAAGGAAATAAAGATCGGCATTTTTTATTTGAAATGATGGACACAACACGGTGGGATCCTCGAACCTTCACAAAACAAAGTCAACTATTTCGATTTTTTAAAATCCTATCTGGATACAGACACTTAATTCACACTACTCGAGAAAACTCAATATACTTGTTTAAATACTCTTTTTCAGACGTCCCCAACAGTATGAATACTTGAATAACAGAATAAGTCATCGTTATGCTCGCATGTAACCCACTGGAATGGATCAATAATTGTCCTAATTGTTGCGCACAATTCTTGTCCTGAGGCGGTTAATCACTTATCCCATAAGAGTATTTGTAGAAGAGCGATGCTTTCTCTTCCTCAACTGCTTGATCTTATAGGTATGGAGAAGTATCGGATACCGGAAAAAGAATAGTGAAACACTGTGGAAAACGAAGCTCTTGTTTACCCTTATGTACCAGGTGGTGTAAAATGCAAAAATAGGATGAAATCACGCCTAGTAATCTATATTTGCAAATGAATATGCATCACTGGAAACACGTGAGAATGCTTTCATTTAGGTTTGTGTCTATAAATTTGGTTCTGGAGTAAGCTCCAAACCAACCTTTCAACGACATGTCACTAACCAAGTCTCGGTATTAGATGAACAAATAGTGAAGCTAATCCAACAATAAATTCCCTAAGGAGACCCTTAACTCTACATCATTCACATTACTAACACTTGTCAAGATGTTGCTTACTCTAACGAAACGCTGTCTCCATTGCAGACTTTGGATCAACTTCGAGTTGTTGAGCGCTGTAAGACCAACCTGACAGCCATCTTTGTGATAAATTGATGGAGTACGATGGCAGAAAACGTAATGTGGCGTTGCGCAGTACCGTATGTGGAGTAAATGTGAATTTTCGAGCACGACGTGATTGACGAATATAACGCTCGACTCGGTCGCGTCGGACAGACTCGTATTGCTGAAAAGCATACTCAAAACCACTATCTCGAGGCAACGGCACATCCAGCAGGGCTGTCGCCAAGATTGCTGCATCTTCAACGCACAAGGAAGCATCTTGATTCAAAAAAGAAGGCAAAGAACCGTGGGCGGCATCTCCCATAAGGACTGCTCTCTTATTGTACCAACGCGGCATTAGGGGAACCTCTAGTACATCAGTAGGCAATGCAAGGCTCGCTTGGGAAAGAAGTACAACCAGCTCATCGAAAAAAGACGCATACTCGTGTTTCATCAGTACTTTAGATGTTTCTTGAACTTCCTCGTCGTTCATATTCCCCATGAATTGCATTAGCTCATTTGGTGTGCTATAAAGAGAAGCAGTGAAAGCAATGCAACTGTCTCCATATCGATGGAGAGGCGCCACCGTCAAGGTCCGCTGGTGCCCCCATAGCTCCACAGGATGTTCAAGTCCCAACGGACACTGAGGTGTGTTTACAAAACCATCGATCTGCAGTATCCCCAAGGACTGAGAGCTGGTCCCTATATGCTCGTTCGGATATAATAACTTCCGAATAGTACTGCACATCCCATCAGCACCAACCACAACGTCACCCCACTCTGACGAGCCATCTTCCATCAGTACATGGACACCACCCTTTATTCCTTCGTGGGGCACAAGATCTACAACCCTTGTATTAAATTTGATTTCAGGAATATTGCGTCGAAGTGATTCTCGTAAAAAGTGTGCTGGCAGCGTCTTTCGTAGAGGTACTAACCCCATTTCTATCTTGCGTTCTTCTGCTATTCGTCTCGAAACAATTGATTCACTATTAGCAGGTGAAGCTGTCGTGAATGGGATAGTGTCCTGTGTGCCAAGCACACGCAAGGAAACGTTCCTGTTTTTTATCCGAGCAAGCCATCGCACTTTTTCATCTTTAATGCCAAAAAGTCCCTCCGGTTCAACTTCTACCGAATTAAAGTGAAAATCCACACCAAAGGCTTTAAAGCAGCTTAGTGCATTTGCGTACAAGGTGAATGGGGGAATATATTTCGCATGAAGAAATGGAGCCTGCTCTATAACAATGCAATCCACGTTAAGTCTTCGAAGAAAAACAGCTAAAGTAAGACCCGATAGACCAGCTCCAACTATGACAACGCGCATCCCTTAATTGCTCTCAGAATATCCTAGATTTAGCATCCGAGTAAATTGAGAAGCGGTGCAATAATTATTATTATCAGATTAATTAAAACTAAATCTGCTCCACGAAGTAAAACGGTAACATCATGTGATATATAGATATAAACATGTACAAATGTATTCGGAATCAGTTTATTAATATTTAGAATTTAAAAATTCACAAATCCTAATAGAATACTTTTAACAATTATGTCCTTGATTTATTTGATTTTATATAAATGAACAAAATCATCAGTCATTAAAGCAGAAAAGGAAATGACTGGACTAGAAAATAACAAGTAATTTTTCTGTATCATATAGAACGTTCTCCTCCGTTACGGAACACAATGCATGAAGCTAAATTGATACCAACAGTATATCCAGCAATAATATCCCTTCTGTACTTATCTGCATACCTTGAAAGACATATTTTTATAAAATCAACCACTTTTCCCTTTCATATCTTTTCATGTGAAACAAGTACATCTATGATCCAATGTGTATATATCAATTGAATTTGTGAGAGTATAAGATAGCAAAAAAAAAGAATCTTTTGTGATCAACTATGAACTTTAGTCGAATATTCTCTAGCTCTTTACAAAATGTGAACAATTAGTACCTTCGTCTTCATAATGCGTGTTATCTGATATTCTGACATACTGTAGTGAAAGCCCTTCGCGTGAGAATATTGTGAGTATAAATACTAAGATGAGTATTAGTCTACATAGTATCTACTGACGGTTAGCGAATATAGCCTATTGCCCAAACGAATGACGATCTCGCTTATATTAAATTTTTTAAGAAACATTCATGCCCCAAGCCCTTCCTTGCCACTCAAGACAAAAATATCAAAGCGAACAATAAAATATGACCTTTTTGGGAAAACAATCCTCAAGAATAATACAGTAATCTACAAACTTAATGATAGACAAGGAAAGTACTTTCACCAGTCCACGATGCCTCGCCCAAAACACCTTCTACTTCAATATGAAAAAATCAATCAAAAGATGAAGGTTCTGGTTTCTACAAAAGAAACTCATTCAATAAATATAAAATACCATATATCAATTTTTTGTTAAACATCAATAATTAGAATAAAAATAGAAAAAAATGAAGAAAAAATTAGTACTATCTAATAATCTGATATTGAAGATTTAAGAACTATTTAAGTTTGTAAGAAAAGCACAATTGATCAGAAATAGTTTCAAAAAGAAATGATTTTAGTGCATAGGCAAAATAAATTAGTATTATTTTTTCTGAAAATCAATCTAATTAAACATTAAAGTGCTATTTAATACGCATATTTCCAATGTAAAAACACTACATCGATACACGAAAGCCATACGCAGGACACAGAATCATCGCCCAAGAAGACGCAAAGTCCTCATAGACAAACATCAACCACACATACGAAAATAAGCCAGCCCACCACGACGACTACAAGTGGCCCCAATAGTCACGGCCGAAAAGTGCAAAGACCGCCACAAAGAGGTTACAACATGATGCGGAGCCAATGTGCCACACCACACAAATCGACGCCGCACACCAACACCGCTCGATTCAGTCCGTGTGCTTCGCCGCGCCCATGCGCCAGACAATGCCAGCTCCACTTCGCATCAGACTTCGGTTACCAAGGAAAACAGAAACAAGGTAAGACAGGGAATGATCGATATATCGCGCCAAACCGGCAAAGTTCAGGCGCCGGCAACCATACAGGTCCCGCCGCACATGGTTCAGCCTCCACAACATAAATTAGTGGTCAATTATCTCAAAATACTCTTTATATTCCGCCACCAAAGTATTTTTAAAATTTAGAAGTCAGAAAATATTAGAAAAGTTATATAATACATAAATTAGTAAGATTATTATTGAATTTTAGATCTAATAATATTCTTAGAAGTGCTAGAACGTACTTTTATATTGACAAAATAGGTTTTTAATACATTTAATTTTTACTGAAACACGATGTTCTAAAAATTTCTGTTATAAAATATCTAAAGACAAGCCTTAGAATTATAAACAATTAAGAGTGAAATATATAATAAGAAATATTTACTGATAAGCACGAATTAGTAAATATTGCTCATTGCGTTTAAAAAGAATAAAAGTAAAGCTACTTAATGCTGCTGCGTTACAGCTCCACCTTGTGCATTCATAGAAAGGATGTGGATATTCTACGAAGACTTGGATAGCCCACGTATACTTGCCCAGCTGCTTCGAATGCTCAGACTTAGGACTTAACCGCCTCCAGTACCCATTGCAGCACTGACCCTACTAGAAGCAGCATAAGGGGCCAAAGAAATGTGGCGTGCGCCGTGTATAAGTCCTCCATGTTCGACCCCAACATAAATTGCACAAACTGGTTGAGCTGTAAGAGGCCAGCGATACAGGCAAGCAGAAACGCATCAACGGCAAACCACGACGCCAAGAACGTGAGCCATCTCCTCGACAACGCGTACCCACAGGGGGCAATCAAAAGGACAATGAGAGAGACAACAAAACAGAATGGATTGACCGCCTTTGAAAGCTGGTACAGGTTGAACTCCTTGTACTCGGGCGTGATCAGGGGTGCAACTCCACCCACACGATAACGTAAACACGGCACAAACCACGCGGGGAGAAAGCAGCCAAGCATGACGCAGAAGATAATGATGTTGATGTACCATCGCTCCTTTATCGTGGTCTTCTTGATCTCGGGGCGTACCGTTATGGCGGAGTAAGAGTTGTCAGATGTAGTCATGGGATGCTCGGAAGATAGCTGCGCTTTGTCATCGACGTATGGCGGGTTAGAAATGCCTCCCTGTGATCCTTCAGGTACCTTATCATCATCACTGTGAGGGCCCGGGACACCTTCACCACATTTCGTCAGAGTCGTACCACGCCGCCAAAGCAGCACCGTGCAGTTGCCTAACAACACACTGGCGATCGTGGCCCCGAAAAATATGTAAAAGGACGGCAGTATGATAACGTCCGCGACACCCTGGATCGGCAGTCCGGTCACCATAATAAACATCACAAACGTGTCCAGGAAGGAAAATTTACCAATGTAGTCAATTACACGAAGAATTCTTGCATGAGGCCGCTGCAATACAAGTGCGAACAACAGCATGCAGGCTAGCTTGAAGTAGGGGTAAATGCCACTGAATACGAATACGAGCACTGCGAGCGGCTTCAGCCCGGCATCCCACATATCCCTGACTGTGCCCATTAACGTGAAGCCATATATCTTCAACTCACTTCCCACGGAAACACACGCCGCCGCCGTCAGGTTCGACCATAGGAATGCACCGGCGCACACAAAGCAGCAAATGGACAGCAGTAAATCTTCGAGGATGATGCGGAAGACGGAGATTGGCTCCAGGGTGCCCCTGAGAACCACTGGTTTCGCGCGATGCCGCACGACGTTCAGGCATACCAGGCACACCGTGACGAGCGCGCCGCCAACGGCGTAGAGCACAACCACCAGGATGGGGGGGGACGAATTGACCGCCGCTTTCGATCGCATGGGTATGTAAAAGCGTTTGCCGGCACCACTGTCCTTGTCAGCAGCACTGTCGAGTACGGTAGCAAGAACGGCATGCCCAGCGTCCCCGAGCACGCTCCCGGTTAGGCTGGATACAAAGGCGTTCAGCCTGTCGCTTAGCATGCGCGAAACCAACGAGCTCAGGTTGTTGTTGAACACGTATCCCATGTCGCCAGCGTTGAAGAGTCTCATATTGCCCACCCCGAAGGCATCCTCAGCCCGCACGCTGTAATTGTACGTGTTTGGCTTACAGCGCAGGTCATTTAGTGTCAGCTCAACAGAAAAGTTCATTCCTGCAGGAAGATTTACCTGGCTATCCGCCTCCCCAAGTTTCATTCCTTCAACAGGCAAGTGAAGGCTCATCTCCGCAAAGCCTTCCGGTTGGCCAAACAGCTGGCGAGCAAGTCTCAATATGTCGTCCAGAGTGCCTTGATGAATCAAATCCAACCTCAGAGCACCACTCGCAGGGTCACCGCTTTCCAATTCCGTCTTGCTCCCGAAGGCGTGTATGGTGATGCTCCGGTCGATCATGTTGGTGACCGTCAGGCGGAGAGTGTTATTGTAGGGGTCATCCAGAAAATCAACGTGAAACGAGAAGTTCAGAACATTTCTGATGGTCAGTGCGATGTTGCGTGCTGCCCTAAACAGCTCGGTGTCGCGAAGCGCAAGGGCACCGGGGACCACGTCCGGCGGCGGCAAGGGAGGCTGCACCGTGTGGTCCAGCAAATGCGACTTGATC